TTAGCAGCAATGCCCAGACTAAGAACACACATTCATTTGAGGTGTTGAGATTGTGGCTCAGTAGTATAACTGGCATTTTCTTGATGGACTAGGCAGAAATTTTTTCAAATTTTAATAAGCCATTTTGATTTCTTTTACTTTTTTATTCAATCCCAATGGATATGTAAATTCTAATAAAAACACCCTAAATTTTGACATCATCATCTAGATTTGGTTAAACAAAAACTAATTCGAAAGGTAATGGTGCAATTTGAAACACGCATGGCTGAGAGTTATCATGTTGGGTGTGAATACTTTTCTTCTATGATTAACTGTGTTCACTTCAAGCAGGAACGCATGGAATGTTATTCAACAAGAAGGAAGAGAAACTGACCTGATCTATGTGAATAAAGATAAAATAGCATTCAGTCTCTTTATCTAAATTTCTCCCCAAGACCTTTTCCTCGAGGACGAGTCCACTTATCTTTCCTAGGAAGAGAATTATTTCCTTTGCCCAGCCAATGTCCCACCTCTCTTCTCTGCTGCCCTTGTCCCCGCTGAGAAATTCAAGGTGGCACCTGAAGCCACGCGGACAAGCCATCACGTCCCTCTGGTCTCTCAGTCATACGGGGATGTCTACGGGGCTAAGTGTCTAATTTTACTCAATTTCACCTGTCTGGCACTTCTTTGAATATTCCCTGGCTGAGAAAACCCTGATGTATGGGATTGTTGGGTTATATCTCTAAGTTAGGAATTGTACTCTGAAAATAGTCTCAAGCTACAGTTAGGAATACCATGTTCAACCTCTCCCTTTATCATTATTTAAATGGTAGACAAAATCTCTGATAAAGCTAAGGTTTTACTACGTATAATATGAGAATATTATTAGGGGTCCTCTCTGGTGGTGCAACACCATGATAAAGCACAGCTCTACAACGCTAGCAGCAGCTGCTGCTGTAGGAGTCCATGCTTGGCCCAGGAGCTGACCCACATGGCCAGCAGACCTCTCCTGACCCGCCCGCTGGTCCCCTCAGCAGTGTGCTTTGTTGATCTGCCTGTTCTGCTCCCCACTCTGTCTCTAGTGAATCCTCTCACTGCAAATGCACTTCTGGCCTGCACCCCACTTCTGTATGCATAAATAAATCTTTTTTTAAAAAAGTTAAAACTTGGATTTTCAGAAAAAGCAGTACAGTTATACAGAAAGAAGTCTTTAATTTCTTTATCTGCAAAAAGGGTTAGTTGCTCTGAAAGTCTGCTGTAACTGGGTATAACAGGCACAAAGAGTCTAAAATTTGGTATCATTTTACTCTTGGATTTGGTTAACTTTTTAAAATCTAATTCTGTCAACACTTGTGAGGTTTTATGTGCTCGACTCAAGTACAGCAGAACCTGGAGGGCATAATGGTATCTCTCCGCTTCTAGTATAGGCCCCAGAAAGGCCCTGTCCACTCAGGATTTGTGAAAGAAACAAACTTCAGTGTTCCTAGTCTCCTGAAGCTTCTTGATGTGATAATAAAAACCTCAAAGGCCCACAAGGGCTGGTCCAGCCGCAGCATTGATTCATTAAAGGAATGCCGGGGTATGAGGCGCACACTGGAGGCCCAGGTGAGAACCACAGACAAGACAGAAACAAAATAAGATCACAGGAAAAGCTAATGCTAGGATAACTCTACCTGCCTTCCAGCATGTTCCATGGCAGGGTCCCTTGTTCTGGTAGAGAAATGTCTCCAGAGCTGACCCAGAGGCTCTGGATCTAGGCAGCTGTCCAGAGACAGCACTGCCTCCTGGTGGCCACGGCTTCCTTGAGTACCCCTTGGGGGGGCCCCTATGCCTAGGGGAGGCCCGGTTTCCTCATCCCCAAGCAGCAAGGAATTCTGACTCCAGCTCAGAGTCTTTCAAGTGCTCACTCACAGGAATCACCTGAGCTTTGGGACCAGCCCTGGGCCTCCCCTTCATTGCCCCTTAATTGGCTCCTAACGGGCTGTGGGTGTGCCGGGTTCTCCCCAGGCCTGTGCTTTGGGGCAGCAGAGGCCGCCCTGCCCCCCAGACAGACAGGTGCCCTGGGCCACAGGACAGGGGCAGACACCCTGTGGGGGCAGGAGCCCAGGAGGACAGGGACACCCCACACCCCTACTCCCCTGGGGCTCTGGGTGGGTCCAGGCCTGAGCAGGTGCAGGGGGCAGTGATGAGCTCGGGTCTGGCTCCCCTCACATCCTGGGCTCAGGCCCTGGCGCTACTGACCCCTACCCTATGTGCAGGATGCACTCCTAGGACTGTGGACGCTGCAGACCCAACCAGAGCACAGGATCCTGGGCCCTCGGCTGCCCCCACAGAAACTCACAGGGACACAGGGACACTGGGTGAGGAGACCCAAACCACCTCAGCAATGCCTAGAAGCCTCAGGACTCAAGTGAGACTCCAAGGTGACAGGAGCGTGACGATAGGACGGTGAATCAGGGGCCAAATAGACCAGGGGTGGTGGGGAGGGTTCCCAGGTTCTGGTAGTGGCTGGTGTCTCACAGGGAACTGAGTGCAGAGATTCAAATCAACCACAGCAAACCCTGAAATCCTATTACAGAAATGAGGTTACTTTGAGATGAGGAGTGGGGAAATGGGCAGAGGACTCCAGTGGAGAATAAAAAGGTTCGTGAGCTGTGATGGCAGCATGCATGGGCGATACTCATCTCAGGAGGGGGGACCATACACCCCTAAAGCATGTTCAGTGTAGTTAATCATTCTTAACTCAAAGCAAATAATTATGGATGTATGAGAAAGAAAACTATTACTAAAGGATAGGAAAGGTGGAGACCTCCATGGACCCACCTAGAGGAATGGGCCTGCTGGGAGAGGTGTGGGGGTGAAGGGGCAGGGTCTCCTGTCCTCCTGGGCTCCTGCCCTCACCCAGTGTCTGCCCCTGTCCTGTGGCCCAGGACACCTGTCTGTCTAGGTGGGCAGGGCATTCTGTGATGACTGCAAATGCTTCGCATGTCCATACCAACCAGCCGGTTCTCGACATGGAAAACAATTTTCATCAAAGTTCTATATGACACCAAATGAATAAGCAACAGAAGAAAAATGCCATGGACACATCAACATTTAAAATTTCTGAGCATCTACAGAGACAGTCAGTGGAAGAATCCTATGGAGAACGAAAGGAAGAAAATACTTCCAGAACATCTTTTCATGAGGGCTAGGAATGCAGATGGAGAAAGAGTCTCTAAAATTCAGCAAGAGAAAGGGAAACATAACTGGAAAATTGTGAATATACTTGTTGAATATTTTCCCCAAAGACATATATAACCAGTGAACAATGACAGGACCCCTGAGCTCTCCTGCGAAGCCGCAGAGGAGTCTGGCGTCCCACGGGCCACACACATGGACTCCAGGACCCGCTGACCGCAGCACACAGGGGCCTGAGCCAGCCGGACGCAGGGGGTAAGGGAGACACATGTCAGGGCGCTCTGGGGAAGGGAGGGCTCCATTTAGACATGGGAGAGCAAAATAATTGCACAAGATGTCATGAGCTATATAGTGATGATAATATGAATATTAACCGAACTTGAATATAAATAATATGGACAAAGCCGTATTACACTAAGGTATAATACAATACACTAAGATGTATTATTCTAATTCAACATTGCCCGTATGCTGAAAGTGGAGTCCTGATGTATAAATGAAAACATGGCCACGCGCTCCATTTCCAGTAGGAGAGACGCCCTTCACCCTGAGTAAACGCGCCAATATCAGCGTGAGCCACTGGACCTTGGCTGTAAAAATGACCTGTCAGTAAGGCACTTGCTCCGCCTGCGCAGGCGCACAGCGGCACACCCGAGCGAGGCCCCGCCCAGCCCTGGAGGACACGCCTCCTCCCACCCAGACGGCGGGGGGCTTGAGAACCTGCGGGTTCAGGTCTGGGGGTCCTGTGGGGCCAGACAGAGGGGGAGCTCGGAACCCACGTGGCCACACCAATGTCCCAGCGTCATGGACGGGCCCCTTGGTCACAGGCAACTCAGCTGGATGAAGGGTCATCATGACCAGTTATTGAAACAACCCTTTTGATACTTATGTTGAACGATTCTGAAATACAAAAACTGAACAAATTGCATGATCAAAGGAAGCAAGAAAATCACTCAAAAATTTCAGTAATGAGACAGAGTGTGGTTCCCCTGCATGTTGTACACACTGTACAGGGTCAGCGCGTGACAGGTGGGGACACACCTCTGTGGAAACTTTCCTGTGAACAAATCACTGAGACAAGCAGTGAGTCACCCCCGTCTACAGAAACGGCTCTGCCGCCCCCGGGCCTGAGGCCTGTGATGCCCACAGAGACCAGCCCTGCACCCCCAGGCAGGAGCCGGCCCCTGCAGCCTGGTGTGGACTCAGCAGGAGCCTCATCAGGTCTCACGTCCAGCAAAGGGCACAGCAGGGGCCTCAGAGGACAGTGGTGCCAGTCTTAGGATCTGGTATTTCCTAACTACTCAATATAGAGTGTGCAGGACCCAGGTGAAGCTGGGGAGGGTGCAGACTGCATGGATGATCTGGTCAGGGGTGTACAGGGGTATTACAGACAGAAAGGTGCCTGACACATGGGAGGAGGGACAGACCTGCTGGGAGGACTCAGGTCGCAGACGAAACTGCAGGGAGGACTCATGGCCTGGCCTGGAGCACTCCTGCCTTCCACAAATCTCCTTTGGTTAACCCAACTGCCCAAGAGGCAGATATCAGGCTGAGAAATGAGGCTGCAGCAGGTGTGTGGACTCTCCCCCAGGGACCCCTGAGCAGGGAGGCCCAGACCCAAAGGCCTCAGCTCCTGACAAACAGGGGCTCTGGGGCTCTGAGGCTCTGAGCTGGAAAGGGAGGGGCACACCGCCCCCTGGTGGGGACAGGGGCACTGCAGCCACCACACCCCCCCCACACCCCCACACCCCCCCCCCCCCCCTCCTCACAGACACAAGCAGTCAGGGCCTGTACAGCGGCTTTTATTCTGGATAAAAGGGCGCAGCAGGGCAATTCAGGGATCAGTTGTGAGTCATGATGTCGTCGATCCAAGGTCTGAACATCGAGACACGAGTGGTCACAAAGGGCCTCCCAGTGGGGTTGCTTCTATAGAAAAAGGACAAGATGCCCACCAGCGTCCAGGTTCCCTTCTTGGGGCAGACCAGCGAGCCACCAGAGTCGCCCTGTGGGAAGAGAAGTATCTGTCTGCACACTGACAGGGCTCAGAGCCCTGAGCGCCCACACTGGACCTGTCAAGATTTGGCAATAACTTAGGGTGGGCTGAATCCCAGAGGAAGCCCCGCTTTGTACAAAAGTCCTGGTGGGAGGAGGGGAGAGGGTGTGGCTCTTGGGGTCTGTAATGAGGAGTCTCCCTGCCAGAAAACCCATCTGGGAGGCACCCCCTCTTCTAGGAGACACATTATCTGTAGTGCGAGGTTCATGGTGGTGTCCACTCGAGAACACACACCCAGGGACCAGTGTGCTGTATCCTAGACAAGAGAATGCCACAAGCCTGCTGGGGGGACAGAGTGAGAGCTGTGATGGAGCAGTACTTACACTGTAGAAGCTGACACCTTCGACCCCAGCACAGAGCATGGCGTGGGGGCTGAAGCCAGGCCAGAACTTCCTGCAGGTGGCCACGGACAAGATGGGCACTGTGGCCTCCTGCAGCCGACTAGGGCGATTCCTGCCTGTTCACAGAGGACCAGTATGGGCCAGGGCCCACATCCCTAGCCCATCCTCATGGTGGGCCAGAGAGCTCACGCCACAAGCCCTGTCGCCCTCTCTGAGTCATGACCAGCCCGGCACTCTGTAGTCCTTAGAACCTCCAAGGGCCTTCGGGTCCCAGACTGGGTCAGGCTGACTTTGCTCCAAGCACAGAGAAGAAACAGCCCTTCCTGCACAATCTGGGGTGGCCTCAGCCTACCTGCACTGGGGTAGGAACAAGGCCAATGCTCCTCCAAAAGGGGACTGGTCTCCTGAATGGACACACCACTGCCGTGGTGACTGGCATGGCTTTCTCTGCGCCCCTTCCTGGCCGCTCTATCCTGGCCAAGGAGGGGCCTAGCCCAGGGGATGTCAGGGCTCCAGGGAGTTACCAGGGAGGCCCCAGGCAGGGACACCAGCCAGGGCTGGACGTATCTGACCACTAGAGTCACGCTGGCTGGGCCAAGGCCAGACAGCAGGGTGAGTGTGGTATGCCTGCTGTAATGGGCTGTGGATGCCACAGACCAGTCAAGGACAGCCTGTCCTTGGGCCCAGGCATTTCTGAGGTTGTCATTAAGACGGGGTTGTCGAGATTCTGATACACCTAGGATACTGCTCACGTTTGGGCAAGCCCACACAACAGAGCCCCCAGATCCTTCTTACTGTTCTGAGTCCTGACTGGAAAAGCCATGGTCACTCACCATTAGGGTACCTGAACCCCCAGCCTGTAATTTTGCACCAGGTTCCAGGAAGGAAGTAGTCACCAACACTGGGCAGGGGAACAGGGGACACTGAGCGATAGAAATGAGCGGGTGAGGCCAGCTTCAGCAGGGCGATGTCACTGTAGAGACTGTCCAAGTTGAACCTGGGATATCTGAAAACCTGTGGGGAAGGATACGGATGAGGAAGGGAAGCCGAGTGTACTGAGCAGCCTGCTAAGTGAACGAAGATGAAGGGAGACCACGAGAAGAACTGAGGCCGTCTGTGACTCTAGTCTCCCATCAGAAGGGTCTTCTCTGCTCGTGAAAACAAACCCACATCTACCTTCAGGGCTCCATTGGTGGATATGAATTACCTGGGCAATCTTCAGAACCTCAAGGTTTGCTTCAGAGGTGTTTAATTCAAACAACCCAGTCACAACTCGCATAGAGGTCCTAGAAGGAGCAGGCTGTAAGCATAGAGGGGGAGACCACCAACCTCCCCCCTGCATAGGCCTTTCTGGGCCTCACGTGATATTGCAGTGGGCGGCGGTGATCACCCAGAACCTGTCGATCAGGGAGCCCCCACACTTGAAGCGTCCAGTGGAAGTCTGTAGGAGGAAGGGAAGGTATATATCCCTAGGATTTCAGTCACAGCTACTGGGGTACAGTCCTGAATCCTGAGGACTCTAGCCCACCATGACCCCACTCAATAGCAGAGTCCTCTCACCTGCACAGATACGTGCCAGGGCCAGGCACCAGGACGAGCGTCCGTCCCATTGATGATCCTGGGTGTAATGCTCAGCTCCGGGTCACTGTCAGGGGCCCCAGAGCCTGGGGTCACGGGGGGAGGGGAGGGGAAAGTCCAGTCAGTCTGCAGAAACCTGCTTGCACCCTCAGCCAGCACAGCACCACCCACACTCCCTCCTGGCACCCAGCACCTAGACTGGAGGACACAACCCTGCCTGCTTGTCACCCACCAGGGATGCAGAGGGACAGGCGAGAGGAGCAGACTCAGCGGAGGAATCACTGCCACCCCCCATCTCCCTGTTAGAACCTCAGCCTTCTCTGACTCTTTCAGGCTCATTTTCCTTAGGTAATGGGGAGCAAACACTGCTACTCACATCTCAGACTTACCAAGCTTTGGTCAAAATTATGGAATTAAGAATAGTGAGCCACAGGCCACTTGTAATCTCCCTATCTAACTATTTCATTGTGGGGTGTGACCTGTACCTACTCACATTGCTGGATCCTCTGCCTATAACTAAAGTTTTGTTTTCATTTAATAAGAGAGGACACTATCATAGAAAACATGAAAGAAACAACAAAGAAAATTGGGATAGGATTGTCCAGAACAGGGAGGGCACGCAGGGTCCTTGACATGCGCACAACTGGGTCAGGAAAGAGGATACCCAGCAGCCCCAGGTGTGTGAGAACTTGGCCATAGGAAGAATGGAGCCAGTCACTCCCAAGGCCCCCAGGCCTTGCTTCAGGTAGCATCTGCCCCTGCCCTAGTGACAGGGACACAGCCAGGTCACTCTCCCTCAAGCTTGTATCTCCAAACATGTCCTCTTCTTCTTTTCTTATAAAAGAAAAAAACAGCAGCTGGAGCTGTGAGCAGCGCCCCCTGCAGAAGCTTCATAGCAGTGCAGGGGGGCTGGTCCCTGTGCAGGGAGGGACCTGAGATCTTCACCCCAGTGTGGACAACAGCTGTGATAGGCACAGGGAGGGAATACAGAGAGGGGCTCCCCTATGGAGCCCCCAGTTCTGGATGAGCCCCAGGGGTGAGTGTGTGAAGCCTGCACAGAGTGACAGGCAGGGACTCAGCAGAGGCCCCTTCCCGGGGGAGGGAGACCGGACAGGGGGTCTGCTGAGCCTGGTGGGGGTGTCAAAAAAACATAAAACAAAAACAAGACCTTACTGGAGACCTGGGAATGTTAATATTTGCTAAATCCTGAGCACAGTCCTAGAGTGTACATAGTACGGTAATAGTTTTTCTCCATTTTGCTGTTTTGTCATTAAATAAATTCTCTGAGAGAAGTAATTCTTATGGTCAGAATTACTGACCTCTGACATAAACCTGAGCCACTTTCTGGCTTCTTCCTCTATTCTCTGACATTCTGCCCCACACTGAGCACAGCTGTGAGGGATGAGAAGGTCCCCAAAGTCCACTCTCCTCCTGCAAAGTCACTGACTGTCTGCTCTGAAGTTATGGGGTCAGGTGAGGGGTTCAAAACTTCCCGTGGTTACAAGGCCTCACCCTTGGAAAACTCTCATTCTCCAGTGGGGCCTGATGTGATGTGCTGCCATATCAAGGCCTTCCCCACTCTCCTCCCAGGCCCGGCTAATGCCTCAGACCCCAACACTCACCTACAGAGAGCCCGATGAGGGTGAAGCAGGAGAGGAGCCAGAGGAAGGCCATGGTGAGCGGTCAGGGAAGTGTGTGCTGCCTGCCAGGGGGCTCCCTTTACAATGACTGGAAACCTGAGGTCCTGCCCAGCCCCCGGGGTCTTCCCTGACCTGAGGCCTCCCTCCCATTGGTTAAACCGGTCCTGGGCAGCTCATTCCCAGGCACCCCACCACCAGGGAAAAGGGCAACTGCCTGGCTCACTGTCAGCCAGCAGCCTCAGCAACCCCTGGGGGAAGCTCCCAGCTGTGGGCCTTGGAGGCCCTGGTGCCCTCATGAGGCGGTGGGTGCTCAGCAAAGACTCATCTAAGGGACCCTCACCTAGGGCACCCAGAGTCAGCACCCAGGACTTAACAGAACCCAGCACCTCAGGCTGCTTCTCTACCTGCTCAGGGAAACTCCCTGAGGCCAGAGACTCACAGCAGGCCCAGCCCCTCAGGAATGTGCCTCTGAACCAGCCCAGAGATGCAGCTCTGGAGCTCAGGAGGGCAAGTCAGGGTCTCACTGGCTCAACCCAATTCCTCTTTCCTCATAATTCACAATGAAATTGACTTGTCCTTACAGGAGCTTCAGTTCCTTTTCATGTGTAACTTTGGTCCCCCCAAAATGGCCCATTGAGCGCACAGGTCAGTACTGATTCAGAAACAAGGAGACAGACAGGGAAGTCAGCTGTGGGGATGCGTGTCCCTGGGAGGCCCCTGCTGAAAGAGGGACAGCGGGACCTCAGTGCCCAGGACACAGGCCTGCCGGGGCACCCAGCCTGCTAAGGACACTGGCCAGGTACTTAGTCAGTCTCTCCCCGAGTCTTCACCCAGGCACATAATGACAAGAGCGCTCAGGTAAGCATACCTGGCAAATGCTTGAATATAGTTCTTGAATGTTTTTTCCTAAGAAATACTATGACCAGTCAACCATGATAAGACAACTGACCTTTGCTGAAAAACGCAGGAGTAGTCAGGTTTCCATGGGCCACAGAGACACATATACAAGGACCGGCTGATCTCAGTACACAGGGTCCTTAGCCAGCGAGGCACAGGGAGGGAGCTAGGGAGACACGTGTGAGGGCGCCGTGGGAATGTGGGGACACTACTTAAACATGGGAGAACTTTGGGCCTAAGGACACGCCTCCTCCCACCCAGACAGCAGGTCAGCGTGTGACAGGTGGGGACACACCTCTGTGGAAACTTTTCCTGTGAACAAATCACTGAAACAAGCAGTGAGTCACCCCCGTCTACAGAAACGGCTCTGCCGCCCCCGGGCCTGAGGCCTGTGATGCCCACAGAGACCAGCCCTGCACCCCCAGGCAGGAGCCGACCCCTGCAGCCTGGTGTGGACTCAGCAGGAGCCTCATCAGGTCTCACGTCCAGCTGCCGGTCACAGGGAAGCAAAGGACACTTGGGGGATATGAGAGGACAGTGGTGCCAGTCTTAGGATCTAGAAGCTTCCCAGCTTCTTAATATAGAGTGTGTGTGCAGGACCCACATGAAGCTGGGGAGGGAGGAGACTGCATGGATGAACTGGTCAGGGGTGTGCAGAGTGTAATAGACAGAAAGGTTCCTGGAGCATGGGAGGAGGGACAGACCTGCTGGGAGTGCCTGGGGCACTCCGGCCTTCCACAAATCTCCTCATTAATTCAATTGCCCAAAAGGCAGAGACCATGTTGAGACATGAGGCTGCAGCAGGTGTCCTCCACTTTCCCCCAGGGGCCCCTGAGCAGGGAGGCCCAGATCAAAGGCCTCAGCTCCTGACAAACAGGGGCTCTGGGCTCTGAGCTGGAAAGGAAGGGGCACGCCACCCCCTGGTGGGGGACAGGGGCACTGCAGCCACCTCCCCAGGCACAGACACACAAGCAGTCAGGGCTCTGTGAAGAGGCTTTTATTGGGGATAAAGGGTGATGCAGTGAGAGTTCAGGACTCAGTTGTGAGCCATGATTTCCTCAATCCAAGGTATGAATGTAGGGACACGAGTGGCCACAAAGGGCCTCCTGGTGGGGTAGTTTTTACCAAAAAAAGACAAGATTCCCACCAGCGTCCAGGTTCCCTTCTTGGGGCAGACCAGGGAGCCACCAGAGTCACCCTGTGGGAAGAGAAGAACCTGTCTGCACACTGAGAGGGCTCAGAGCCCTGAGCACCCACACCGGATCTGTTATGAGTTGGTAAGAATCCGGGGTGGGCCTGAATCCCAGCCAGAGAAACTCCACTTCTGAGGAGGCCCCGCTCTGCACAAAGGTGCTTGCAGGAAGGGGAGTGGAGAGTGGCTCCTGGGGTCTATAAACAGGGGGTCTCCCGGCCAGCAAACCCATTTGGGGGGGCTCCCTCTCCCCTAGCAGACACATTATCTGCAAATCTGGGTCTTGGTGCTGTCTGCTTCCAGGACACAGTCCCAGGGACCAGGGTGGTTGGGTCTGGGGTTAGGTGGATCCCACCAGCCTGAGGGTGGGACAGAGTGACGGCTGGGTCGAGCAGTACTTACACGGTAGAAGCTGACACCTTTGACCCCAGCACAGATCATGGCGTGGGGGCTGAAGCTGGGCCAGAACTTCTTACAGGTGGCCGTGGACTGGAGGGGCACATTGGCCTGCTGCAGCCTCGCAGGATGAACACTTCCTGTTGGCAGTGTGACAAGCCGGGGTCATGACCCTCACCCTCCTAGTCCATCCTGGGTGGATTAGGCCAGTGACCCTGAGTGTAGCCATCCCAGGGTCCCCTCTTCCAAGAGCAGGACTGGAGTCTGCTGAATTACCCCGCACAGCTAGTGCTTAGAAGCTCAGAGGGGCACATTCCTGAAGGCCCTCATGGGGGTGACTTTGCTGCATGCACCAGTGAAGACACAAGCCCTGCCTGCCAGCCTGGAGTGGCCTGGGCCCTGCTATGCACATTCGGGGGGTTCAGGAGCTGTGTCTTCCACCCCGAAGCAGGGGACTGACATGCCCCTGGTTTGAGACCTCTCTGGGTTGGGGGTGCAGGACAGTCCTTCTCTGCTGTTGCGCTGGGTAATAATAGCCTGTAGCCCAAGCCGGGGAAGGACAGGATTCCAGGTCCATAATCAGGCAGAGCCAGCCCAGGGATGGGCCACCGGACTGCACTCTCAGGACCCATGACTGCTTCGAGTCCTGACAGCTACCAGGGCTGGATGGACCACCTCCATCATGTCTGGGGAGACTCAGGTTGGGCAATGGGGGGTGAGCGGGAAGTGCCTGTTTGGAATGAGCTGTGGTGACAGAAACTGACAGTTTGAGGACAGCCTGTACTTTGTTGGGAAATTTGGTGAGGTTGCCAATGAGAACATGTAAAGATTCAGACACATCTAGGACTAGTTCATTGCAATCCCGTAAGCAGAGCCGTCCGGGTCCTTC